AAAGGCAGGATCCTTTCCCAGAATTCTTCTGTGGTTAAGCATGCCACTCCAGTTCTTATCATTCCTTAGATCTTGGAAATATTTGCAAGGGACACCTAATCATAGCAAAGTAGATGCTCAAAACCAGAGTAGTGTATTGCCACAACTTTTGGTCACAACTGTGCTGGGAAGTCACTGCACATGTAGCAGTACTTCTGCCAATTCCAGGTGGCAAATATGTGCTTTACCCAGCTAGAGTTTCTGTATGTTAAGAGCGGTGAACCAATGATAAAGTACTCTGCCTGACTACCAAGCTCAGCTTCACTTTTTCCTTTTCAAATTTAAACAAAAAGCTCTGGATGTAACTGTACAACACTTTAGAGAATGAAACAGAACTGATTTGCCACCTTCTTCGAAGTGTTGATTACAACATGCAGTAGTCTTTAGCAACAATTACTCTGAGACATAAAATAGCCGGTCAAGAAGGTTTTAGGGACCAACAGGTGGGTGAACATTTTGGTACTGTCCTACTAATTCTCTCTGAATAGCTTCAGGATGATCCCCTCAACCATTCATCTGCATTCAAGACTTCATCCATCTGCCCCTCTGTAACTACATTTTTGCTTCCTGGAAAGAAGAGGCTGGAAGGCAAAAAATTGACTATAATGATAAACATCAGCTTTTAGTCACTATTATTTCTTTATTTTATTCCTAAAGCCCTTGTCTCTATTGTTGGTGTTTTCTTAAATGCAATTATTTATTTGTCACAATTTGTCATGAAATCTCTTGTTTTCTGATAGCTGACATTCTTCTTTAAGCTCAGTTCTGAGGGAACTGAATGGTTCAGGTTCAGGTTTTAAAATAAATATACCTAGCTATTCCAGTTCCTGAGAAGAGAAATGAATACAGAAAGTGAATTTAAGTGAAAAGTTCATATGTAAATAAACTTTCAAAACTTTCAAAAATAAAATGTTTTTCAAGCCAGTCTTTAGGATTTGGAGTTCTGCTTTCTGGATTATTTTTTTCAACTTACAGAGTCAGCAGTAATGCCTCCAGCAGTTTCATCAAAATGGCCAATGCCCAGGAATACAGACATCATAAAGTGAGCAGGAATTATATGACCTGATCAGGGATGACCACTCAATTGAGGATATGCTATGGATCAGTTAAAGTTACATAAACATTGATGTATTAACTTCAGGAGGGGATTCTGTTGCCTTTTGGAAGGCATGAACTAGGATGGTTCACTTTAAGCAGCAAGAACTGCACAGTCACAGCACGTCATCACACACTTTGTGGGAGTGGAGCTAGTGTGGGACACTTAGGAAGGAGCTGTAATCTGGCAGCACATGGCCTCTTTGCAGGAGGTGGGGAATCCAGCACACCCTCTTCATGCTGCTGCAATATGTGTGGTCCAGCACCATGTGGGAGGTGTGGGCAAGAGATAGTTTGCATGTGCCCACATCTTAGCCACAAAAGAGCAGCAATGCAAAGGCAAGAGATAACAGAAGCCTTTTGAACGTTAATAGGATGCCCATAGGAAAGAAAAACATATACACAGGCTTACCTGCTGAATGGCGTGGTCAAAACATAAACAAATAGCATGTATTAGTACCATAACACCACTGTTAACTTTAACAAAGATGGATTTGCTCTCATTAAAAAAAACTCACATGGGAGTTTTAAGGAGGAGAAACGAGAAATTAAAAGAAGGATGTGCAAGTGAGTCTGTTCACTCAGAAATGTGGCAGCAAAAGAAATATTTAAAATTAGTTTTCTCGGGAAAAAGCCCATTCAGTTTTAAGGTTATTGCATGTTCATCATGTAGTATTTGAAACAACTGGATAAACAAGAGGAAATAGGTTTAAAAATAGGTTAGTACAGTTTGTTTTCATAGTGGAGTGATTTCTTCCATGGCATACTGCCATAAGAGTAACCCCACTAGTTCCCGGAGGTCTGTGATTTTGTAACTATCTCCATTTTTATTAAAAAGACAGGAAAGGCACATTCCTACTTTTCACTAACATTCACATTCATTACCATCACATTCTTAACAGAATGTGATCTCAGCATATCTTAAGGCTCAAAACCTAAAAGGTAAATAGAAATACACCAGCATTTACAATATTGGGAGTTTCATGAGTGGATAACACTTTGTTTACATGTGACTCATGATTTCTACTTCAGGTATGCAACAGTGATTTGTATAGGGAGTGGGCTGCATTAATTGAAGAGAAAGTTGCAGTGAGAGACTTGCTAACATTTGAAAGGCAGCTGTCATTCACACATTCTAAGAACTTTAAAAAAAGCATAAATACCACACAAATCTGGAATCAGGGAAGAAAAATAAAAGCAGTGTTAAGATACAACTTCAAGTAACAGTCTAATGAGGTCAACATAAGTATGGCTGCTAACTTCTAGAACAGCTTTTCACCCAATGGAAGAACTGGCAATTTCTTTAGAACACCAGTCCTTCAAGGATGAGAGGGAAAATATAACCCAAAATATCTTATCCAAAACACAACCACCATTTTTTTTCCTGATGAATACCAGTCTCCACACTTCCTGCAGTCAAAATTTACCTTAAGTAACCACTTTCAGTATTGACTTAAAAATTGACTATATTGGTAAAATAAGGGATTTATACTAATGTATCCTATGAAAGAAATGTGGTGATTTTGGATCGGTAATGGAGGTATCCTCACTTCAGTACAACCAGAAGACATATTTTTTTAAACATTTCAAAATATTTTGGCACACAGATTTTATATCATTACTTGGAACATGTAGACTTCTCAGCTGTTCCATGTATCTGCATGCCACAGTTTTGCAGATTCTTCAATTGTTAACGATTTCTACTATTTACTGCACTCCTACTGCTAAATAAACAGTTTTATAAAGTAACTCCTGGCCTTGCTGTAACAAACAGAGAAAAGATAGCAATTGCATTGGTAGGATGACAGGATCCTCACTTTCTTGCAGGACAGCACATCTTCTGCTAATAGAAGGAAGGTGTCCAAGCAGGTGCTTTCCAGGACGGTACCTGGGCTGGGACTGACTGCTGTTAGTTTGGCCAGTGTCACAGGCAGCTGGAGGCAGGCACTGAATGTGGCAGGGCATGTTCAAACACGTATCCCAAGTAGCTGGTGGAAAGTGTGGGTTGCTTCTCACTGATGAGGAGGAATGGAATGTCAGAAACATTTCTTATGTTTCTGACATAAGAAGACCTATCTTCTTATATAGTATATATGGCTAGTATAGATTGAGAAATAGGACAGAACAGGTACATTTACATTACTGGTTTAATGTGTGATGGAGGTCATGTTGAGTGTAATCCTTACAGCTGGAGTTCTGTGCATTCTTCCAATGTCCTATACTGCTGCATGTGAAATAGCTCCTGTCAGGGAAACAAGAGACTGTGCACAGTGCTGCCATATAAAGCACAGCAGTCATACAGACCCTTGGCCACCCCTCTAGCACAGTAGACTTGGCTTGAGCTTCACACATAGCTGCCTCACAGCTACCTCAACTCCTTTTCTGCAAATGTTCCTCAATAACAAAATCAGCAACTTCAGTTTTGACATTAGCAGGGCACGTATCCACAATATCCTGCAGCAGACTGTGAAGGGGAACACACAGCTGTTCATGCAGTTAGATCTTATTCTTGGACCTCTTTTGCCAATGGTGGTGTAAGGCCAGTCAGAGCTAGGTCAAAATTGGAACTCAGCCTGCTGTGTTTTTTATGTGGTATGCAGAAGCTGAGCCCCTTTCATCATTCAGGGTGGATAGGTCGAGACAGGCAGGCCAGGAGATTCTGAAGCCTCCACATATGGTTCTGTGGCCAAAAAGGCCCAGCTGGAAGGACCTTTGAGAAACGCCAGGATGACATCTCTGTATTGGCACAATCATCTGACAACACTGACTGTATACAGTTTGACAATTTCAACTGCAATACATACAAAGAACTATATTTTCCAAAAGAAAGCAAAATACATCCAGGTAATTCCAAAATTAATCACATACAGAATCACACAGAATTTATTAAGCTGGAAAAGACCTCAGACCATCAAGTCCAACCTATGACTGAATAACACCACGGCAAGTAGAACACAGCACTAAGACTTTGCTTAAACACCTCCAGGTGTCTCCTTCATATCCATGGGCAGTCCATTACAATGTCTAATCACCTTTCTGTGAAGAAATTCTTCCTAATGTGCCACCTAAAACTCCCCTGGCCCAGCTTAAGACTACGTCCTCTGGTATGTATGAGAGGTTGTATGCCTCCACACAGCCGAGATGTCCTGATGCTGGAGTTGCAACAGGGAAAGGTTTGCTCCCACCAAGCACATTGGTGGAAAGGAGCCGCTGCCTGTCACCTCGGGAAGGGCCCGCCAAAAGGTGCACGCAGCCTCTTCCCATTTCTCCAGCCACCTTTAGGCTAAATTTGACACCCGGGAATGGCGTTAATGGAGGTTCAGCGTTCGGTCTGACGTTGCTCACTGCAGAGCATTCCCGAGCTCTCCGACACTCGGCAGCAGCCGTGGTTTTGTCTGTTCAAGCGTGCCTGACACAGCGCGTTTCTGACCAGCGCGGCCCTCCCAGCCCTCAGACTCGGCGCCCCCCGCCCCGCCACTTCCCCGCCGCCGCCGACAGCGCCTCCCGCAGGCCACCCGCGCGGTGCCGGGGCCACCCGTTCGGCGGTGCTCTCCGTGCTTCCATCCGCCGCCCGCCGCGGCGCGACTCCCGCCCGGGACCCTCTCCGCGAGCCCGGGGGCAGAAGGGACGATCCTCGGCCCCATCTCTCGCCGGGGTGGCGGGAGCGGCGCCAGCCCCGCGCGACAGCCGTGACCGAGCGGGGGCGGCCGGGAAGGGCCGCCGGCGCCGGGAAGGGCCCCGCCCCGCTCATCCCCCCGCTCCCCCTCCCTCCCGGCCGCGTTCCCGGCGGGCGGCGCCGCGGGGTGACGGGCGGGTCTCGGCCACAGCCGAGTGCGGCGCGTCAGTTCCGGCGGGGAGCGCGGCGCGGCGCGTGGGTCGGAAGCGCCGCGGCGGCGGCGGGGGAGCGGAAAATGGCGACGGCCGCGCAGCTCACGGATGAGGAGCTCTTCTCAGAGCTGAGGCGCTTCGGCTTCTCCCCGGGGCCGGTCACCGAGAGCACCCGGCCCGTCTATCTGAAGAAGCTGAAGAAGCTGCGCGAAGATGAACGGGCCGGGGCCCGCGGCGGCGGCGCCAACAAGACCCGGAACAGCAACAACAATAACACGGGAGCCGGAGCGGCGCCGGGTGGAGGCGGCGGCCCCGGGCGGGCGGCCCCGGGAGCGCGGCTGGTCGGCGCCGAGCACCCCTTCCTCGCCGGGGCCGCCGCCGGAGGTGGCCGGGGCCGCGCCGCACCCCCCGCCGGTGGCGGCAAAGTGCTGCTGGGCTTCAGCTCGGACGAGTCGGACGTGGAGAGCAGCCCCCGGAGCCAGGCCGGCGGCAGGAGGGAGCGCGCTGCGCCCCTCTACCGCGGCCTCAGGCCCGCCGCCCCCCACGGCGCCGGCGGCCTGAGCAGCAGCTCCCCCCCGGAGGAGGCGGCCCGGCGGAAGCCCAACGCCTGGTGGGGGGCGGCTGCCAGGAGACCGGCGGCGACTCAGGGTGTGAGGGAGCTCGGGGACGGCGAGGAGGAGGACGACGAAGAGGAGGAGGAGAAGGAGAGCGAGCAGCAGAGGTGGAAGAACCGGACCGTGAACGGGAACCGGCTCTTCTCCTACGGAGGCAGCAGGGACAAGTACTCGGACTCGGAGGAGGAGGAGGCGGCGGGGGCGAGGGCCAAACAGCAGGGACCGAAGGAGGAGTCTGCAGTTCGCCGGCCCAGACGGAGCCTCAGCAAGTCGCCTGCTCCATTCATAACAAGCAAATGCGCTGCAGCCGGCGCTGGCGTGATGGAGACGGGCCAAGAAAGGGCTGGCGGAGGCTGCGGTGCTGGTGTGCTCGTAACGAATGACAGGGCGGCGGGGGCGGCTGCTGCCGGCAGTCTAGACAGGGGCAGAAATCAGGAGGAGGAGGAGGAGGCGGCGGTGGTGGGGGGGGGAAGAGGAGGATGTGAAAATCTGGACTCTAGTCCTCCGAGCCCCAGATACCGCATTGGGCTATCCAAGAAATCCCCATCAGTATTGTTGCTGCCACCACCGCTCACGGACGTGGACAGCGGCAAAATCACTGACCCTCCAGCCACCATTAGGAAAGCGACCAATAATCATGTTCTCAGCGGTGCTCCTGGTAGCTGTAGTGTTGAATCCAGGATCTATTCATCTACTAATAGCCTTCCCCCGGGTGGAACCCCCTCCTCCCTTAGACTCAACCACTCCAATCATACGGGTTCAAATCATACCTACCTGAAAAACACCTACAAGAAGAATCTCTCTGAGCCCGAGGAGGAGCTTCTCCAGCAGTTCAAAAGAGAGGAGGTATCCACCACTGGAGGCTTCAGTGCACATTACCTGTCCATGTTCCTCTTAACTGCTGCATGCTTGTTCTTTCTGATACTGGGATTCACATACCTGAGAATGAGAGGTTCTGGAGTAGCTGAGGATGTGGGAGCCAACAGTAAGTATTAGGTGAAGGGTAAGAGCAGTTTCTGCAACTGGATGTAACAACTGTTAATATGCCTTTGCATTCCCAGACATCCCTTACTGAACAGTTCTGGGTTCCACCTTAGTATAATCTCTCTGTAGAGGATGGTGTACAGAGGAATTGTCTTTCCTTATGTGTGTGCTTGCAAGCTAGTATAATAAGCTTGCAAGACATTTGAGGGTAAACTTAAATCCCAGCATTCCCTGCTGTAATCTGTTGCTACCTTGTTTTCTAGCAAGTTTTCTTCCCAAAGCAGTTCTTTGGGTTTTGTTCAATTTAGCAGAAGTATGGTTAATAGAGAATTGACGAGGTAAGGCTTTATGTTAATCTCACAGGAGGAAGCGTGCAGTTAGATACCTGGGATTCCTGCAGGGCTAAGATTTGACTGTAGTTGTTTGGTAATAAAGCAGGTTGTTTTCATTCATGTGTGCTGAGGCTTGAAAAGGATCGTAGGTTGAGGTGATGCACACTGTGACAGACTTTGTGCAGTGAATGTTTGACTTAAGTGTATTGTTTTCTAATAAGTACTTTCTTCTATATTTAGTTGAGAATAATGTTTATACATGAAATACTGCTGTGCTTTAGTCTGAATTTCAGAGCTTTTTTTTTTTTTTCAAATACTGAATTATTTGTGAAGGAGTTAGGAACTTCTTTAACATGTGGAAGTAACTTACTGGAATGGATTTAAAAAACAATGTTTTTTTTTAAGATGGTATGGAAACATACCACTTAAGAGTGGTGATTCTTGCTAATTCAGTTCTTGGCTGTTCCAAAATGGACAGTGGAGATTCTAACATCTCCACAAGAAAGAAAACTCATGCCATTTCTGTCTTAATTTTTCATTGCTCCTGGTGAGAAATTGTGCCAAAATCTGGTTTTGGGATATAAGAGTGTTAGAAAGTTCTTGGCAACTTGTATTTTTCTGGACATGATTGAGGATGGTGAGTGGGGTGTATGCAAGTGTGTACGTTTTCTTTGTATGGAGGGTAGAGGATTTATATAGTCATTTGTGGACATGTATACAGTGCCTTCTAAGGAATGATCTGACTGTTATCTTGGGATCTGCTAGATGTCACAGGGCAGCAGTGTGGGCTGGCTTTTTTTCTATTCCCCTTCAAACGTTGTTCATTACATTACAGTAGCATAATAATTTTTAATTCTGTTTTGCACTTTTTGGAGGGGAGGGGGTGAGTAAAACATTCGGTGTTGAGGAAGGACAGTAGCAGCAAGGACTTGGGGATTTGCAGTGGTTTCATTGCAGTGGTCCACGTGGCTTTTAAGTGCTGTTCAGTCTTGTTTTTGGGCTGGCTGTGAACATAGGCAGGTGGGCTATAATTAGATACGGTATAGTGTGACTGTTGTGGCTGCTCTGGTTAGCTTCTGGCCATAACTGCTGCAGACATGCCTACGTTTTCTTGTGTACAGATAAGCTGTATTCTTGTACTAGCATGCATTATATGCTTCTTTTATTCTTGAAATACGATGATTTTAACAGGAGAAGATCTGTCAGCCTACTAGGGTAAACTGCCAAATTCAGTGGTTGAGTTAAAACTGGCTTGTCATCCTGTTTGATACAAGCTGAGTGTTTCATCAGTGCAGATAGCAATAGTTCTTACAGTTCAGAGTGGATTTTTTAATTTTTTTTTTGTATTGAAAGAAATTTTGGTTTTGAATGTGTGAACTTTCCTATAGAGCACATGGGATGACTGTGTTGGGGGTATTGCTCTTAAAAAGTTAACCCAACTGGAACTGTTAGGAAAAATTGTCCTCTTCTCACAGGACCTTGCTTAGGTTAGGCTGCCCAGTCAATGCTCTGGTAGTCCAGTGTTGCTTGGTTGTTCAAGTAAACCAGTTCTTGGCCTGTTCTTACTTGCTGTCTTTTCAGTGGAACTCTTGAAAGTGGATTTCCTGATGAATTGTTCTGGCAATGCCACTCATATTTTATCTGTGCTACTTCCTCACAGCCCCAGGCTTTGCTGCAACATAACAAATGGGAACGGGAATAGTGTCCCTTGGCAGAAGCAAACAGCAGGTTTTGCGGCTGGATCCTTTGATAGGAAGAGCAGGCCACTTCTTTTAAGTAGTGTGGGAATGAACAAGGAGTTACCTTGCCCATATGTTTAGCATGTGCTTACTAAATTCCTCTCGTATCAGCATATGGAACAAAAATACTGTGGGTCTGTAGAACAGGCAAGAAAAGACAAGACAGACTAGTAAAGACTGATTTTTACTGAAAAGGGGGAGAACCCTGTCTTCTATTGTATGCTTCCTAAGCTTCAGCAACATCCAAGTGAGTCCTTAGATTCTTATGCTTGTATGGGTGTATAGTTTGGTTTTTTTTAATAGAAGCAGAAGTGATTCATACTTTTTAATTAAAAATGATAGTACATCTCAAAAACAACTTTTTCATTTAGGTGATTGGATGTTGAAATTTTTCTGTCTTTTAGGTGGTTGTAGGTAAGATTCTGTTGGGTGAGAGTGAATTGATTGTGGAAAAAAATCAGTTGTTTTAAACTCCTATCTGTGTCATAAAAACTTTTAGGGTTCAGCAAAGTTGCAATATATGAATCTCTCTAATTATCATGCTTACTGTGATAAAGCAGTAAAGGCAATTATTTGTATATTTGGTGGCTTCTTATTTTAAATTTGCAGGGAATGATGCACAGTGAGCTTAATGTTGGTTTTCTTAATAGTTAATTGCCTAAAATTAAATGCAATCAAAATAAGGTGATAGTATGTTTGTGACATTGAAAAATATTTATCACAAAGTACAGTCAATATCAACACCTAAATATTTGTCAGGCTATAATCTAAGAACAGAGGAGGTGTGTCTAATGAGAGAGAGGCTTAAAACCAGGTATTGGAGTTGAATTTAGGCCAGGTGCAACATTATAAATGAGAAGGGGTGAGCAGAGAATTTCAGAAGAGACTTGTCACTTACACTGTGCATAGTGTTCAAATGATTTCTTATCCAGAGCTCTGAAATAGCTATGAAGCTGTTTAGTTTTTCCACGTGTAGCATAAAATGGTCAAAGACAAATCAGAACTGGGCTAATTCTTCTGTATCTAAGCTAGAAAGGTCACTTGAAGTAAGGTTTTTATGCATTATTGCTGTCTAAAATATAGATAAATGTCTGTGCAGTTTTTCTTAAACCTGTTGAAATATACTGCTCTTCAAGCTCACATAAAAGACCAACTAATGTGTAAGTGCATGTTGTTTGTGCTTGCTGTCTCTGACAGCACTGCATTTGAAAAAGATTAGTTTGGGCTTGGTGTGTGTAACTTCATTTTGCTCTGGCTGTAAGGCATGTTTTGTTTGCACCTGCCTTCAAAATACCATGGGATTGTACCAACTTCTTGCCAAACCAGCACAGTATTTTGTTAGGATGATGGTAGACTTTTGTCTACTTCCTAGGTTCTTCAAACCTTCAAGAGTGTGTGTCTCTTCCAACTTCTGTGGTTTTGTGATGCTACTCTGAGCATCTCACGTGGCTGCTCCTGGAAATTAATTCTAAAATTATTTCTCCTGAAAAGTTGGTAACTGTATCAAATCGGTTGATTTTGCTTTCAGATTAAGTTGACTTCCATTCTGAAAGATGTGGGCCCTAGTGCAGATGCTATTGAAATCTGTAATCTGAAATATGTTGTATGTAAGTTACTTTTACCATTTCTGCTCCAGTACTTTGTCTGGGAAGCAGTTGCTGTGAAGAAAAAAACCAAAAAACAGAACAAAACCACCACAACAAAAAACCAATCTTGAAAGTTTCAGGTAGGTCTTGTTTAAAATCTTATTTTCTTATAAGAAGAGGCTTTTTAAAGTGACATCTGTTGCTAGTAGTTTTGGTCTTTCTATGATACTTGTTACAAAATTGCTAGGAGGATAATTCTTACTACATTTGCTACAACTTGTGTTTTTGAAATGTTAATTCCGAGAGACTTAGCAGTTGTATATATTGCAAGTGTAAGCTTATGCAAATCACAGTTCTAAGAGTTTCATTCAATTAGATTGATGTTCCTTTGTTCTTGACGTCTAAATCTCTCAGGTGGAATGAAAATTCTGTGGAATTTTATGCAGAGAATTTAATTGCTAAGAAGTTAGACTTGCTGTATTAAAGATGAGATGATGACTTTTATGCTCATGGGCCTGCAAATTACTGTTGAAGTGCTGTGATACTTCACTGATAACTGTTACAAATTTACTTACTTTCTAAGATCACCTTTTCAGAAGAGTCTATATTCTTGACAGTGTTTGCTTTAGTGGAGCAAAATTAGTTGTGGATAAGAAGTATTTACAGAAGAGGACATAATAAAGGGAGGGAGAAAAATTAAAAGACTTTCAGAGTTCCTGTGTTGTGTGCCTATTGATGTTCCTTTTGTTTTGCAAGGGGGGTGCCCTGACTTGTATTTGACAAGGTAACAACTTCTACTAAAATATTAGCATGTTGCTGTTTCACTTTTTGCATATTACTTTAAATCCTAATTAGCAAGTACTTCTCAACTAGGTGATATAAAAGAAAACCTGGTATTTTTCGTTAAGACTAATCTCTGTTGTAGCAATCTCAATTCTATGGTTTGGTAAATTTTGGATCAAGATGGATAGATCAGACAAAAAGAATCTCTACCTTCATAAAGCAAAGCCAGGCAGAATAGTTAGATTTCCTTAGGATCCTTGACAATTTTAAACTCTCGTCTCTCTTATGGTATGTCAGAAATTACTCTTTAAAATGGGGAATAATTTGACCTTTTATCTAGGAAAGTCTGCATAATTATTATGTAGTGACTTTCATCTAGGAAAGTCTAAGTAACTGCTATATAGTACAAAATAGCTCAGCTATTCAAGTCCTTCCTAAAGGATAATAAACACTCTATTTACCTTTGTAATAGATCTGGAGTATAAAGTATAAATATGAATATTGCTCAGCAGTGTTTGAAACAAAAATGATAGAAATTCAGAATTCCTGTTTTTATGGTAG